TGCGTTTCAAGCGATGGTGTCTGTTGGGACCAGGACATAAGGTTGGGGGAGAAAGAGGACTGGGTTACAGCAGGGAGGGGAGGTGTTTGGCTCTGGGGAAGGGAAGAGGAGGAGAGTGGAGGGGGATTGGGTTGGGAGTATGCCCCTGTGACGGGTCTGCTGGGACTTGCACTGCGTCCAGTGAGGGGGAGGGGTCACCGGGGAACGGCTCAGCAAGCAGCGAACCCTCCGCCACTTTGCAGGAAGGCGGGGGAAGCCCTGCCCAGCCGCTGCTGCTGGGAAAACCCAGCCACCGGCCTGCAAGCAGGGGCAGAGGAGAGGGTACAAGGCGTCTGGCAAGAGGGGTCAGCAAAATACTTTTAGCATAGACTGTCTTAGCTAACCAGTCTTCTGCTAATGCATGAGCCAGGAAAGACTCCAGCTCATACTCCGATCATCCTATAGTTCTGCAAAGCTAGGAGGAATTAAAAAGAAGTTGTAAAAGTACATTTGTGTCATTATTGTTAATGGATCTGATTTTTCAGACACTCTGGGAGTAGAAGGAACTGTGGCGACAGAATGGATTTCTAAAGTAGAACGACACTTTAAGAAACATTTTTTAAAAAAAACATCCTCTAACAAAAATAAAGAAATCAAATCAATATTGCAGAGACCTGAAAATAGTAGGGAAATGCAGGAAATTTTTAAAGAGGAAGGAAATAAATATGGGACCAACCCGAAACAGAATTTAAAAAGGAAAAAAGTTCTAAAGTTGTTCAAGTAAAAGAGATAGGGGCGGGGCAAGGTGGACTGACATGGATGTGAGAGGATTCCACACACTAGTACCCACCGCAGGAATTACATCTGCGTTGTTATGCTTTCTTCACACTCCTTCACACTGGCCTTTATAAGCTGAGGCTGAGGGCTGGTCTGACTGTGTGGTGAATTTTGTATGACCTTTATTGATGGACTTTAGTTTGGGTCACTGGGTTTATTTTTTCAAATAATTTTATTTACATTTTTTCCAGTGAATTTGAAAAGGTTTGAAATGCACCATTTCCCTTGCTATCTAATAGAAGTTAGTCATAAATAAATGCTTGCAGGTCGGTTACGAGGTGTAAGAAAACGATGCAAGCAGGTAGAAAATTAATATGTTTGGGATTATATTGTGTACATTAGCAGTTTATTTACTTTGAGTAAGTCCACTTCCTTGAACTCTAACAGAACAATCCATTAACACCTACAAGCAGATCACTCATGACAAGCTGTGCAGATTTGAAAGAAACAGAGTTAGTTTAAAATGTGTACAAACACATTAAGAGCCTACCACCAATAGCAATTTGTCCAAGTTAATTTGTTTTAAAAATACAAATTAAAGCCATTATACTTTTTTTTTGTATGGCTGGATACCTTTCTGGGAGATACAAGTTTTTGGGATCAGTTCAGAAGTAATTGGGTGAAAGAATAAGATCTATGTTATACAGGATTTTAAACTAGATGACCTAATGTATGCCTTGGAAATAAACATCAGAACCCCCAATAGTGTTGTATTGACACTATGTTCCTGTAAAACTTATGCACAAGTTTAACCTGATGTATGGGAGCCTAGATTTTTATATAGGGATGTAATGCATAGAAATACCTGGATGGCTTCATGAGTCAGAGAGACAGGACTAGTCAAGTTGATTTCAATGGAAAAGCTGATGTGTGTGAAGTTAAGCAGATGCTCAAGAGTTTGCAGGACTGGGGCCTAACAGACTTAAATAAGTGGGGTGCATTGTGAGACCAAGAGCAGGAAGTGAATATTGAGCGTGGTGGAGTTTTTATATGTAACACTGGGTTAGATAGAAGTATTGCCAACCTGAAATGCTAACAAACGAGGCCCAGGAAAACCATCAGGCCAGCTTAAATATCAAGAGGTAGAAAATCTGAAAATTAAATAATAAACATTTACAATTAATCTCCAGTTTGTATTTAACTTCTGGAATTGGAATGCTTGGAATTCATATTTTCAACCTTTTCTCTGCAATCATGATGTCTGGGAAACAAACTTTGAAAGAGAAAAATGAAAGGGAAGATGGAGTTCAGCAGCTGAGCTCTAACAAAGTCACCAAATATCTTTAGACACATAATAAAATCAAAAGAGTTGGCAACATTTGAGAGAGGGCGGTCTATGTAGATCATCGGGCCTGTCAATACAAGAGGATGAAGGGGCCAGTTGTCCCAGGGCTTGGTAATTTAAAAGGACCTAGGGCTCTCAGCCACCAGCACTTTTACTGGAGCCCAGGCCTCTTAAATCACTGCCAGAGCCCCAGGCAGTGCACTAGAGCTGAAGGGCTCTAGCCCCCGTGTTTTAGGGGTGCAAAGCCAAGGCCTCTCCCAATCCTGTCTGCTGCCTAGTAGATTAGTGTTTCTGGTCTTTCTGGAAAATGAGAGTGATCACAGCTCTGACCTCAGCTTAACCACATGTTTTTCCTGGCAATTTCTTATTTTAAAATCAATTTTGTAGGAACACCTGTGGTATTTTTTACTCATGTTAGGTTTGTAAAAGGTGTTTGTGTTCAGCTGGATATCTCAGCCTTGCTGATATGGTATGAACAAAATAAATAAGAATCCGGTAACCAAGCACAACACAGCAGAGTAATTTGCAATCTTATTGCCCATAGCTGTGAAGGTATCAACGCTAGACTGGGAGTCTTCAGCCAGGAGACACAGGCTGTGGGAGGCTGTAGTGTAACACTCCTGCCACCATGTGGTGCTGTGAGTCTGCAGCGGGTGCCAGGCCCACACACCCATTGTTCCAAAATGGTGTCCCCCCCTTTCAGTGTGCAATGGCTGCTGGTTTGTTCTATGCTTCCCGGATCCTGAGGAGATACTGAGCAGCAGGGGACATGTGCCCGAGGGGTGAGAAAGTTCCTTGGTTTCTTTCTGTTCTGTACTGTGGCAGGGGAAGGGAGCAGGTGTGCTGCATGCACCTGTCCTGTGCTGATTGCATCTGTGGGTTCTGTAGCAGCTTTGATGGAAAGGTTGTGAGGTATTTAGGGTGCTTATTGGGGGTACCTCTTTGAAGGTCCTTCACCTCAGGCTTTCATTGCCTATCAGGTAGAATGTTCCAGCACAAATTCTTTGATGTGCTAGGACTGCCCTTTGTCTGTCTGATTCCTTGGAAGTGTTGTATTCTCAGGCATGGATGTGCCCACAATGCTCATGAACAACAGCAGGAAAATCCAGGAGCTTTCCTCCTCCCCACTTCCGGTGTTCGGTTAACAGGGGATTAGGGTAATGTAGTAATTGTCACAGCTCAAGGCAACTGCATTTGTACTCCCCCTCTATGGGCCAGTAATGGCTGAACCTTAGGCTTCTGGCTGCCCCACCATTACCTTTATTTGGCACATGCCTACACACACACGCGTCTCCCCCTCCAGATTGGGCTGTTTCCAGGCTGTGCCTCCAACTAAGGCTCTGGCCAGGGAACAGTCTTTCAAACCCTCCAAAAGGTTTTTCTGTGGTTGCAGGTTTGTAACTTCTTTTGTCAAAACTGTGAGCCATTCCTTTATTTAGTTGAGTTTCTAATCTTTTTTTAATGTAACAGGTGATGAGCAAAGGTCCCCTCTTGAGGGGGAAATTTCAAGAATGGGGTCTGGGGAAATTTGCATTCCTTCTGCCCAGGTTTTTCCTAGCGAACCCCCTCAGTTTTGCCTATCCCAGAAGTTCTGTCTCATCTGAGCCATTATTTTAAAATAGATCTGTGAAGTTCTCGTAGTATTTAAATTAGTCATGTATCCCTCCTTCATTCAAATTGCATTCTGTCTGTCTTTTAAGGGTTGTATTCTCAGGTCCTGAGGGGCCCAAATGCTCATGAACAACCAGATGAAAACCTGTTACATACAGCCTCATCAAAATAGAGAACATTTGATTTTTTTAATACTCCTAAAATATTTAAAACTTACTTCATAGGGTTTAATTTAATTCAGTTTGTCCAGTATTTGCAAGAAGTTATCATGTCTGTCACAGTATGAAGTTAGATAAGTTTGGCTGTATCTGATGAGCTTTTCTGGAGGCATGTGGTGGCTTAAAGAAGAATTCTCATTTAAATGCAAATCAGGGACAGAATTCTGGGCCCTTGATTAGAACTTACATAGAGTTCTCTTGTACCCCTAACCCACTCCATTGTGTAGAACCTTGTGTAATGGTAGGTTTTCCCATCAGGACTTCACGGGCTAGTACCCCTGTGCTATAAGCCTGTGCAAAGGGAGGAGTAAGGACCACAGCCCTGCTTCTTCTCCTCAATAGCTAGCAGGGCTACCCAGGCCATTTAAGAGCAGCAGAGCAGCTGTGCCATCAAAAGCTTGGCAAGGCACAGTCCAAAGTGACTTCTGATTCTTCTCCTAGGTTGGTGCATCTCTGTACTACCATTAATGCAGATATGTGGCTTACTGCTACAGCTTAGCTCTGTCATTCTCCTGTCAAAGGCGCATTTTATTTTACAATGTATTTGTGTGAGATTGCAGTGTATAGTGGGTAATTTTGACTTCCACTGAAATGGTGATTTGTTTTTGTGTGTGTCTGCTCTTACCTTGTACATATTGTGTGAAAGTGTAATAATTTATTTTAATGCATTAATACAGTAAGGTAAACTGCAGAGAGGTTTTCTGCATGTACTCCCGGCATGTGTTTAGGGCTGTTTTGAGATTGTGTGCCATCTAACACATTAAAGGGGGAGCCTTGTGCAACTGCAACACAGTGGAAAATATCTGTATTTGACAGTGAGTCTGTTTAAATAGACTGTGTCAATGTTACAGTGTTAATCAATGCTCCTACATATGTACTCCAGTGTGTACTGCCTGTCTCTTACAAAGGAAATGGACTAGGATAAATTAAACAATGACTTCTTGTTTGAAAGCCATCCATGTGTTTGCACAGAGCTGAGAAGACAAAGGAAACAACCTATTTAATATCTTTTTTTCTATCTATAGCTTTGTGTGAAAACAACCCAAAAAAGAGGACAGATAATACAGCAACTAGTAGTGGATGTAATTTAATTTAGCAAGGTGTAAGTAATTGTGGAATTCCATATTTCACGTTTCCATTGCCACAATATGTAGACCTGAGGGGGGAAAACAGCTAAATCAATATTTCCTACATAGGTTTTTCTAAAGGCTTGTAGGAACATTGGTTACATTTATTGGCTCAACAGATGCTGCCAGCCAGGACCTTGATAGTTTGAGGCCATGTCCATACTTACCCGCAGATCGATCTTCTGGTGTTCAATTTATTGGGTCTAATAAGGATTTAAGCAAGTAGTCGACTACTTGCATTTCCCACCCCCCCACTGCCTCTGTATCAGAGGCAGCAAGGGGAGGGGGAAGCAGAAGCTCCTACTAAGGGGAGCTGGTTTAAAGCAGGTTTCCCCCAGCACCGTCTTTGCGGTGCCCCCTGCTCCCCTATCAGAGGAAGCAGCACCGGGGGGAGGCAGGGGAGGCTGCTGTGAAGCACCCTCTGTCTTTGGCAGGCTGAGGCTTGCTGAAGGCAAAGGGGAAGCTGGGCCTGCCATGGGCAGAGGCTGCTCCAGCAGCAGCCCCTGTCTGCGGCAACCTGGGCTGGCTGTGAGTAGAGACTGCTTCTGCAGCAGCCTCTGTGTGTGTGTGTGTGTGTGGGGGGGGGTCACAGTGTGGAGCTGAGACCCCACGCAGATAGGGGCTGCTGGACCCAGTGCAAGCTGGGACTGGGTAATCCTGGCTCAGATATGGCTTGCGCCGGGTCAGGGAGCTACCCCTGTTGCAGCTCTGCATTTTAAATGTAGTAAGAGCTGGGTACGCAGGATCCGGATCCAGTGTGAGCTGGGACTAAGTGCACAATTAGTGAAATACCCACTTCTTAACATCCTAGTAAGGACCCGCTAAATTGAATGGTGATGGTGCCCCCGTCGGCGCTAGTACTCCTCCTCCTCACGAAGAGTAAGGGGAGTCAACGGGAGTATTTCTCCCATTGACCTTCTGCTGCAGGGATGGCGCCAAAGTTCGAATCAAGGTGCATTGACTCCAGCTACACAGTTAATATAGCCTGAGTTGCGTATCTTAATTTGAACTTACCTCGAGTGTAGACCTGGCCTAAGAGATTCTGTTCTTCTGGGAGGAGGAGTTATACTTATATACAAGTAGTTCAGCCAAATAGTGTAAAGGGGCGATAAGAATTGCTAGGACACTATATCTATCCACCAGTGTGAATCGCCATCTTCAGTTTTGTTGCATGCACTCCATGTGCATATAGTGCCACAGTGTATGATAATCTTGTTAGAAATGGGTTTATCTGAGTACTTCCAAACACGGAGGAGTCTGAGTACCCACTAATAAATATGTTTATGTTGATGTCCTGACCTATCTCTTTGAACAAAAGTATGGTGGTAGTTCTGTTTCTCTGATGTCACTCCTGGAAATATTTTCCTTGAAAATGACACATCTGGGCATGGTCTGCACTAACTGGTTAACAGCCTCTTGAAATGCTGCCTGTAGGGTGGTCCTTATGGAAATTCATGTATCAGAAACTGTAACCTAAGGGTTAATTTTTTAATTGTAAAAAATGCTTAATCGTAACCTAGGGGTTAATTTTAAAAAAAATTAACCAACATGTATAATAAAGGTGCATCCCTTCAATGCTCTGGGCTCCCTTGTCCATTTATAGGCCAAGCCAGGTGAAATCTAACACTCAGCCCTTTTGCATTTTCCTGTCTGCCTGGAATGTGATCTCACTGAAACATCATGGCTATGTCTACACTGGTGGCTTCTTGCGCAAGAACTCTTTTGCGGAAGAGTTCTCGTACAAAAAATCTTCCACAAAAGCATGTCCACACTGCCATGTGCTTTTGTACAAGAGCATCCATGGCAGTGTGAACGCTCTCTTGCACAAGAAAGCTCTGATGGTCATTTTAACCATAGGGGCTTCTTACGCAAGAAATTCATGTTGCCTGTCTACACTGCCCTCTTTTGGAAGAGCTCTTGCGCAAGAGGGCTTATTCCTCATGGGGAGAGGAATAACTCTTCTGGAAGAAGCCCTGTTTTGCACAAGTAAATTTACAGTATAGCATTGTAAGAACGCATGTGCAGTGTAGACAGCAGGCAAGTTTTTACGCAAGAACATCTGTTCTTGCGCAAGAAGCTGCCAGTGTAGACATACATGTCTGACAATTCCAAAACTTCAGGACACATGTCAGGCATTAACCCTGTTGATTTTGCTATAAATCAGAGTGCCAGAAAAGCCTGATTGAATGGAAAATTGGTGCTCCAAGACTGTCTGGCACTGCAGGCAGAAGAATCTCTCTGCCACCCTGTGCTACTCCTGCCTAGACATATCAGAGGCAGCAGCTTACCTTGTATGAGTTGATTGTAACATGAACTTTACCAGCAATGAGAACTTTTCAGGGCAGGGGCTGCAGGTTTGTATAATTTTGGCAATGCCTAAAAAGGGTCCAAGTCCTCCCTCCCCCTCCCCTCACCTAAGGCTCTAGGAGGGAGTTTGGATGCGGTTTTTGGAGTGTGGGCTATGGACTGGGGTACGGGATTCAGGACATGAGGCTTGGCCAAGGATGAGGACTTTGGGGTACAGCAGGCAAGAGCTGAGGTGCGGGGGGAGGGGGGCAGAGAGGAGGACTCCTCCGAGCCCTATCCCCACTGACAGCAGCGAGCTCTGAGGTAGGGACCCTTCAGTTTCTCTTCTCCCCAACAACACTCCCCCAGGCCTCTTTCCCAGGAGGTCAAGCCAGGATACGCTCCCTCCTCCCCCAACCATTCAGACAGTGCCTGGGGGAGCGCTTCCATGCACCGTCTCCCTTCCTCCTCCACAGGCACAGCAGCTGTCCCAGCCTGCCCTGGGCATGACTCCCTTGTAGTTGACCATGGCAGTGGCTGGTGAGGGAGCACAGCAAGGAGCTGCAGGTGACAACCAACTGGGACACTTGAGGGTGACAGGCGGGGCCAGGGGATGCAGTCAGTAAGTGCGGGGAACGCCAGGTAGGGCTGGGGGTGAGTTCTGGCTCCAAACATTGATGGAGCTGGGCCTCTGGGCCTGGAATATTCCAGGAGCCCAGGTATCATGGGCCCACATAACTTGCTGCCCCTGTTACAAGAAGGGCTGCCACTCCTGCCCTTGAGCTCCCATTTAAGCTCTGTTTGTGGGATTTAAGTGGGACTGAAGTAGGCCTCGCCCGAGGATGTGAGCACTTTCCTTAGGGGTATACAGTCTTTATCAAATTTGACTCTAAAATGAAGTGTAAAACACATGTACTTACACATGTCTATTTGCTTCATTGACGATGTAAACAATCTCTGCTCCCAATTGGGCCCAAAGCAGGGTCAATATATTCTTGTTCCAGAGAAATTCCACTTTTCTAATATTTGTAGGGTCAATTTCAATATCGATATGCTTTGTATAAATGCTACCTTGATGAAGGAGTCCACTGCAAATAGGAATATGAGAAGAGTGATGCTATCCGTTGTGGTCCATAGGCAGGAGTTCTCAACCCTCTCCTTTCTGAGCCGCCCTTACACTCCAATATGTTATAAAAACGGCACAGTCCAGCTGTGCCCCAACAGCTGCTTTTCTGTATATAAAAGCCAGGGCCAGTGTTAGAACGTAGCAAGCAGATCAATTCCCAGAGGCACCAGGAAGCTAAGTTGCTCAAACTTTGGCTTCAGCCTCTGGTGGTGGGGCTCAATTCCTTGAGCTGCAGTCCTGTAAAGGAAGGCTTCAACTCTCTGTTCTGGGTCCTTGGTGGACTCGCTGAAACCTGCACGTGCCCTCTTCACCTCCCGCGATGCCCTCAGATTTCTGCTTGAGAACCACAGCTCCAGGGGGCTGCTGAGCTAAGGTTGGTTCTAAAGAACTTTCAGCATGTTGTCATTATTGTATAACACTTTGTTCGTATTTTATTAATTATTTGCATATTTGTAGCTCTTCTGAGGAGCCCCAGTCATGGGCCAGGAACCCAGTGCTAGGCATTGCATCTATAAAACATTGGCCTCTGTCCTAAACGGCTTGCATTCTAAGATAAAACAAGAGACCACAGACAGCAACAAATGGGGGAGTGAGGGGTGAGGATGCATAAGGAAACAATGAGACAGTATTGGTCAACTCAGTGGGTTGTGGTCTCAGCATACTATGAGCTTAACCATTGTCAAGGTTTTTTGTAGACATTGGGAAAGGAGAGTTTGAAGGAGGATAATGACATAGTTCTGTGGATGTTCATAGGGAGCTCCTCCCAAGCATGAAGGGCAGCATGACAGAAAATATGAAGGTTAAAATTTAGCAAGTGGGAGATGGAGGCTGACATTGTGGGCTGAACATTGGGGAGAGTCAAGTTGTGAAGGGTCATATACTACTTGCACCCTTCATCCAAATGTCTGTATGGTTCTCATATTAATAAAGTCTTTTAATGTAGTCAAGGTAGGTAGTAGACCCATTTTACAGACTGGGTAAACCGAGGGGGAAAGAGGTGAAGCAGCTTGTGAGAGTCAATATGAGAAGATACCACAGTGCTAGCATGGAAGTGGCTAGACTAATCCATGTGGTAAAGCTGTTCTCCATACCTGGTGAGACCTGGATGTTTTCTGGAAGTATGAACAATCCCAGAGCTGGCTGTTACAGAGCTCAGGAAAAGGAGTTGACTTCCATGTGCCTGCTCTAACCATTATCCCACACTTGCGAGCTCTGACTGTTTTAAAATGTGTTAACTAACGTGATTGCAATGTTAAAACATGATTTGTAAGCAGAGGTGTGAATGACTGTGTAAACTGAATGGCACACTACAAACGCGAGTATTAGGCCAATTAACTTACCAGATAATTTGGTACTGTTTTGTGAATCCGTTTGCATCATGGAAAACTATGTTTAGTTCCCCCCTCACTTGCTTTGTGCCCGATAGCTTGAGAGAGATACTGTGGCTCCAACCTACACAAAAAAGCCAAATAAAATCAGATTGCTGGCATCCATCACCATTCAGCTCATCCAAGGTTTATCACATCACAGAGAATTTACAGTTTCATATCTCATTTCAGACCCTTCCCCTCCCCTTCCCCCATGTCCATATGGCTAATTAATTAATTGTCTACACTTACTAGTAAAGGGTGGATCAGCTCCTGTGTTTAAAAAATATTTTTGGTGTATTTTCTCCAGTTTAGCTGGAAATTGATCAGCATAATGACCCATCATTGGGCAGCCTTCGCTGGGACATGGGAAGCAGAGTCCCTAGGGAAAACAAGAGCATCTGGGTAATGTGGGATATTTTGATTTTTCATGCTAAAACTAAGGCTGATGAGGATGTCCTGATGCACCAAAGTCTTGGATATTCCCTTGCTTTAACCCACTGCATTTCAGCTTCTTGTTTCTGATGTCAATTTCTTTGCTGATTCTATGCTTGTCCACCTGAGGATGAAACAAACTGCTTAACCATAAAAACGAGAGGTGCACTTACCTTTTAGGTTGTGATGAGCTGAAACATTTAATTTTAACCACTCTTTTTTTCAGCCTGAGATTTGTAGAAGCTTATGCTAGATGTACACCTCCAGTGGAAAATGTAGCACAGAGTTTCACAGAGGAGCAGCTGGTGTGAGAGTCAGGATATATTCATCTCATTCCTGCCAGATTGCTTGCTCTCTACCACCTGACATTACTGTTGTTGGAGCTTCATTCCCCCCAAGCCCTGATCTCAGCCAGGCACAGGGAGCGCAGAGACATCGGAGCACCCGACTCAGTGTGTGATATGTGCATGTGATTTTTGTAGCTCACCCATTTTGGGGCTATTATGCTTACCAACTGGAAGAAGTCATATCTACTGCAGGGATAGGCAAGAAATCCTTTGGGATGGAGGATACTTTGGAAATAAAACTGATGGCTGCGTGAATGATGGCATGAATTAGAAGCACCTGTGAAAACAAAATTATGAATGTCTGTTAAACCATCTTCGATTACATTTGGCAATGACAGCATTTTCAATAAGAATAATAAAAATGATGGGTAGGAGGGTAGCATGATCCTGTAGCATTTCTTAATGTGAATGTTACAGGTTCCTGCTTTTCAATAGCAGATGAGAAGTTCGCTGCTTTAATTAACCAGTGCATTGACTCATAGCTGGAAAACTGGGTTCCCACCTGCCTAAGATCTGTGGCTATTGATCCAAGTTACATTACAGCTACACAATACAATATCATTTTCTGCATTACAACATGCCATAAAGAATGCAACTGAGATGAAGGGATGCATAAGTGTATCCACCATTTCAAGCTATGTGGAGTGGGGATTCTTTCCCCTTCTCCTTGGAGATGCTCGGCCCAGCTCTTTGCATCATGCTGCTATAGGGAGGGGAGTTTTATTAAGATCTGTGCCTTTAGAACAGAAGAATGGCCATACTGGATCAGACCAAAGTTCCATCTAGCCCAATATCCTGTCTTCTGACAGTAGCCAGTGTCCTAGAGGGAGTGAACAGAAACAGGTAAGCATCAAGTAATCCCTCTCCTGTCATCCATTTCCAGCCCCTGACAGAGGCTAGAGACACTATTTCTACTCATTCTGGCTAATAAGTATTGATGGACCTAACCTCCATGAATGTATCTAGTTCTCTTTTGAACCCTGTTAAAGTCCTGGTCTTCATGACATCCTCTGTCAAGGAGTTCCACAGGTTGACTGTATGAAGAAAAACTTTGTTTTGTTTGTTTTAAACCTGCTACCTATTAATTTCATTTGGTGCTCCCCTCCCCCAGTTCTTATGTTATGGGAACAAGTAAATAACTTTTCCTTATTCACTTTCTCCATACCTGTCATGATTTTAAAGACCTCTGTCACCTTTAGTCTCCTCTTTTCTGAGCTGGAAAGTCTCAGTCTTTTTAATCTCTTTGTATGGGACCCGTTCCAAAACCCTAATAACTTTTGTTGCCCTTTTCTGAACCTTTTCCAATGCCAATATATCTTTTTTGAGATAAGGTGACCACATCTGTACACAGTATTCAAGATGTGGGAGTACCATGATTTTATATAGAGGCAATAAGATATTCTCTGTCTTATTCTCTATCCCTTTTTAAATGATTCCTAACATTCTGTATGCTTTTTTGACTGCTGCTGCACAGTGAGTGAATGTTTACAGAGAACTATCCACAATGACGCCAAAATCTCTCTCTTGACTGGTTATAGATAAATTAGTGCCCATCATTTTATATGTGTAGTTGGGATTATTTTTTTCAACATGCATTACTTTGCATTTATCAACATTACAATTCATTTGCCATTTTGTTGATCAATCACCTAGTTTTGTGAGATCATTTGGAAGCTCTTCAAAGTCTGCTTTTTTGTTAACTATCTTGAGCAGTTTAGTGTTATCTTCAAATTTTGCCACCTCACTGTTTACCCCTTTCTCCAGAGCCTTTATATATAGGTGAAATAGGATTGGTCTCAGTACGAACCTTTGGGGGACACCACTAGTTACCTGTCTCCATTCCGAAAACTCACCATTTATTACTACCCTTGTGTTTCCTGTCTTTTAACCAGTTATCAGTCCATGAAAGGATCTTTCCTCTTATCCCTTGACAAATAACAGGGACCTTGTCAAAGGCTTTCTGAAAATCTAAGTACACTATATCCTTTGTATTCTCCTTGTTCACATACTTGCTGACCCCCTCAAAGAACTCTAGTATATTAGTAAGGCATGATTTCCCTTTATGGAATCCATGTTGACTTTTCCCAACCAATTATGTTCTTCTATGTGTCTGACAATTCTTTTCTTAACTACAGTTTTAACTAATTTTCCCAGTACTGAGGCTAGAAATTGCCAGGATCATCTCTTAGAACCCTTTTAAAATATTGGTGTCATATTAGCTATTTTCATGTCATTGGGTACAGAAGCTGATTTAAAGGATGGGTTACAAACCATAGTGAATAGTTCCACGGTTTCACATTTGAGTTCTTTCAGTACTATTGGGTGAATGCAAATCTGGTCCCAATGACCTGTTACTGTTAAATGTAACAGTTTGTTCCAAAACCTGTTCCAATGACACCTCAATCTGTGACAATTCTTCAGATTGTGGACTCAGGTTTGGGAATCTCCGCAACGTCCTCTGCCATGAAGACTGAAGCAAAGAATTTATTTAGTTTCTCCTCAGTGACATTCTCATCTTTTGAGTGCTTCTTTAGCATCTTGATTGTCCAGGGGTGCCAATGGTTGTTTAGCAGAATTCCTGCTTCTGATGTACTTTGCTGGATGCCTTGTGGGTGCAGGATGCAGCATGGTCATCACTTGCAGCCTTGATACCAAAATGGGAGCAGTGCTGCCCCAATAAGTCATGAGATTGTCCTCACCCTAGACAAACACTTCCCATTACAACTGACACACTAAGTGATCTCTGCCCCTTTGAGCTCCACAAATCCTCAGTCAAATCGTGGAAATTAAGGCTGATCCCACATCTTCTGTGTGACCATTTTCCTCCCCCCCCCCCACATCCCAAACTTCAGGCTATCATGGCTGTAATCTGGCCCTCATTGGTTCATGCTTTTTTCCACCTATCACCAAATATGAAAAAACATTTATTTCTTAAAAAATTAACCCCTCCCCCCAGAAAGGTTCACTTTCCGTGCTCAGAATTATACTATGAACGGACACTGTGAATTAGTGCTGCAAATGCTTGAAGGAGATTTACATTTAAATAAGGCTTTCGGGTCTCTCTTTTCCACTGGAGTTCTTCTATCATTGCATCCAGGCATAATAGTTCCTCCATTTGGGTAGAAGTCAAGGTGGCCAGTGGTATTAACCATTCCAAACCCTGAAATACATACATGACATGGTGAATGACTTGATTAATTCAGTGTCATGATTGTTGCTGCAAATGTTTGCTTGTATGTGGGACCTTACCTACAACCGGTAAGTGGGCAGCATTACTGTGAATAACATCAACAAATCTTGCATCCGAAGGGTCCAATCTGACTTTAGGCGGAGTGCCTTCAAAAAGGGGACCAGCAGGATCCAAGCCTAAAAAGAAACAAACGATTCACTGTTTTATGAGAGCATCAGTTTGAAATGAAGTGTATAATGGATAATGAGTAGTACTATAAACATGTATTAGAAATCCATGGCAAAGCCCTGAACATTTTAATGAAATAAACATTTGTACAGTGTCAAAACACCTACACAAGTCAAAATATTTCCTACAATTTAGTACTCCAATGATAATGAAGCCTCATTTTCTGTTGGTGGTCTACTTGTTTTTTCCCAAGTATTCTCAGAACAAGTCTCAACTTCTAGCAGGCAGCCTTTCTGCAAACTCATCCCAGTGCAAGCACATTTCTATCAGTTAGTGTATAATGGTGTCATATGGACAACGATAAGAAGGGATTTTAATACGATTGAGTTTTCTATATTATGTGTTGGCGTGGGGTGAGAGACTAAGGATTTTTCATCAGTTATATATTTGTAGTACCCATTGGGCCCAACTGTATCAGGCACAATACAAATGTAAAGTAAGAGAAAGTCTGTGTGCAAAGGATCTTGCAATCAAATTGGAGAAAGGAACTATTATTACTATCTCCTCTTTAGAGATGAAAGATTGAATGAAGCACAGAGATCAAGTGACTTGCCCACAGTCACATAAGAAGCTTGTCATGTAGCCAGGAACTAATCTATTCTAGTCCAGTGCCTTGATTACTCACCTCCTGCCACTAGCAGCACTAACTACTATAAATGAATCTGGGGAAGTGTGGAAAGATAACCACAAATACAACACAGGAACGCAGTTATAGCACATCTGGCTTTCTAGCATCAGCTGCATTGCACTTAGGCTTGTGGATTGAGTGTCCCCTAGCACTCCCATAGGCAGCTCATAAAGGGTGTGGGTCCTCCCAGTTGAGAGGAACCCCTGCCTCAGTACATGATTTCAAAAGTGTGCCTGTCTTCCAGCCTCACAGAGAATGAAACTCTTTGGCTGCTTCAACACTGGCATGATTTTGCGCAAATACTTTTAACAGAAAAGTTTTTCCATTAAAAGTATTTGCGCAAGAGAGCGTATATACTGGCATGTGCCTTTGCGCAAAAGATTTGCTTTTGCGCAAAAGCATCCGTGCCAGTGTAGATGCTCTCTTGCACAAGAAAGCGTCAATGGCCATTTTAGCCATTGGGCTTTCTTGCGCAAGAAATTAACGTGGCTGTCTACATTGGCCCTCTTGCGCAACAATACTTGCGCAAGAGGGCTTATCCCTGAGCAGGACCGTCAGAGTATTTGCGCAAGAACCTCTGATTTTGTACATTACAAAGTCAGTGTTCTTGCGCAAATACTCGCGGCCAATGTAGACAGGCGGCAAGATTTTGCACAAAAGCGGCCACTTTTGCGCAAAATCTTGCCAGTCTAGATGCACCCTTTAATAGCAGTAGCTGTAATAGACTCTGTATTCTTCAACTTGCATGGACTCTTACAATATGTGTTAACTATTTGTGCTAAACAATCTGATCCATCTTGTATTTAGCTATGAAGCTCTGAGTACCTTACCTAGAACTGAAGAGCTCTGTGTAGCTTGAAAGCTTGTCTCTTTCTGGTTGTGCCCACAAACCTAAGGAGAACCATCTTCTCCCAATACTTAAGACCTTCATCATGGCTTACAGCAACATACAGTGCAAGATACTCCGCTCTGGCGGGAGCCCCTTGCTGTAAGAGAATGTGGGAACTGTGCCACAGGCTTCTGCTGCCCTAGGCAGAGCTAGTTTGGTATGGAAAGGAGGCAAGGCTAGTGTGGTATGGGAAGGAGATGACTGTCCCCTTCCTATACTTTTCTACAGCAGAGCTTGTGCTTTTGGCATGCAGGGATTGCTGTCATGCTCTATTGCTAGGCAGGTGCATGTAGAGATGGAGAAAATCAAGAGGAATCACGGAAAAGTCTTCAGGGGACTTGTGGTTATTTCCTCCCCATGGCCTGGGGAAAGATCATTTAGTGAGATTCACATCCGTGTTCCCACCTCATCCCTTAAACTCATTCAGAGCAAGACATATGTCTTAACAGTATATCAATTTTTTTCCACTATTTGATCTGAGGACGTGGGTCTGGCCCACGAAAGCTCATCACCTAATAAACCATCTTGTTAGTCTTTAAAGTGCTACATAGACCTGTTTTTTGTTTCAGCTACCCCAGACTAACACGGCTACATTTCTATCACTACTCTGCCTTGTTAGTAAGTCCAGCCCAATTCTCACTTCCATGGAGAGTATGTTGAGGAGAAACGTAAACTTTACTTGGCAGATGGATTATAAGATATGGAAAGGTATGTTTGGAGAGAAACTTACGGTATGATTTTCATTATTTGCTTGAGGCCACGAAAAATACAGATCAGCATAAGAATTGGCACTGTTGATATTTTAAAACTATTACAAAAACAATAATGATTGCATTTGCAGCTGACACACACGGTGATAAATGCTGAATATCTACCAGTATGCAGAGGCACTATTGTTTTATTTAAGAATTTTGCTTACCCATGTTTACACCATAAACAATGCATAGTTATATCTATAGGAACAACCCATATAATGGACTAAATTCTGCTCTAGCATAAGCAAGCACCACAGCTCATTGATGTTGTTGGAGACATATCCATTTATGCCCATCTGGCTCAATGTGTCCAGCTTTGCAAATTTCGTAAAGAACATACCATGTAATCTTCCATTTTCGTGATTAACCTACCAGTTATTCTTTTGATGCCTCGTATTCTTCTTCCTGCCTCTCCTGCAGCATGTGCCCCCAGACTATGGCCAATGATATGGATTTGAGAAGGGCTGTATCGAAACATTGTCTGATGAGTTTTGAAAAAGAAAATACAAGATATGTATTTAAATGTCAAGCACAGAAGATATATCTTATTTTCATAGATTATACAGCCAGAAGGTTCCATGGTCCTAATCTAGTCTGATCACCTGCACAACACAGACCATAGGGTTTACCAGTATTAATTCCTGTTTGGACTAGAACATTTTTTAGAAAACAAACAAACCAACCTTCCCAGCTGGATTTAAAGAGTTTCAGCAATGCTTAGTTATTCCAATTTGATTACCTTCTCTTTTAAGTGAGCATCTTATTTCTAGTATGAATTTGTCTCGCTTCAGATTGTAGCCACTGGATCTTGAAATACCTTTGCCTGCTAGACTGAAGAGCCCTCTATCAAAATTTCTTCCTCATATAAGTACTTATGGACTGTGATGAAGCCATTCCTTAAGTATCTCTTTGATAAGCTTGTATGCTGCTGAGCTGTGCATTTGTACAAGGCCTCTCCAGCCCTTACAAATACAGTATTCTCACAGATACAGTGCTCAAGGAAAACATATACTTTATATTGTACAGACCTACGACATTTACACTGGAGATCTAGTTTTAATACAGTAGCTTCATATTCAGTTAGGCACAAAGAGAAAATATCTGG